TACTGATCAGCGAGGCGTGGCCTCAGAAGGGTTAGCACTGTGGCGGGCTTCGTGGTGCAGTGGGCTCAGCCACGCGTGGGGCGCCCGCACGCCGTGTCAGAGCTGGTTCCAGTCCCGGTACTCCAGGCTCCTGATGCGGCTGCTGACAAGCTGTGAGGCAGCAGGCGACGGCCGCGCCCAGTACCCGAGCGCCCGCCACCTGCACGGAGGCCAGGATGCAGCTCCCGCCCCCGCTCCCGCCTGTCCCTTAGCCCAGCCTGGCTGCGGCAGGCATGTGGGGAGTGGCCCGGTGGTGGAAGCTCTGTTTCTCTGCCCTCTCTGTGTGTTGCTCTGCCTTTCAGATAAGTAGATAAGTCTTTAAAGAAAATGGCTACAGCGGGGAGCTTACTTTTGATCCCAGGCTCCTGCAGACTTGCTGAACTGCCTAGAGCAGGATTCTGTGGGCTGCGTGCCGCCTGGCGGAAGCCGCGTTCAGGGTCACCCCCGGTGTCCTGGAGCGGAGCTCGTCTTGCGAGTCACGGTTAGGAAACAGCTCCCGGTGGCCTTTCAAACAGTCCTAACGCAAGACCCTGTGTTGTTGGCTTCCTAACCCAGGAGAACAAGAAATAGTGAATCCGACATATCCCCGCTAAGGGCCTGCCATGTAAGTCCGCTGTGAAAATTGAGTGCTTTGCTCTGTTTATTGATAGCCCATCTTATTCCCAAAATGGAGTCTGTTAGGGCCCCACAAAACTATGTATGACGTAGGGAAGCCACCCCGCGAGCGCGCCCAGCCGCTGCAGTCGCCTCCGCGGCCGCTGGGGAGCGCACGCACACGCTCCCGCGGCGGGACTCCTCTCCCAGCTGGCGGGGGGGCGGCGCAGGGCAGGGGCTGTGCTGGGCGGCCCCCAGGCTTCGCTGAGGGCCAGGCAGACCGGCAGCCGCTTGTCCCTCACCTGCGGCGGCTCCGTGCAGGCGCAGGCACTCTGGCTGGGTAGCAGTGTTGTTTTGTTTTGTTTCAAAGATTGTATTTATTTATTTGAGAGGTAGAGTTACAGTGAGAAGGAGAGACAGAGAGACAGGTCTTCCTTCCGATGGTTCACTTCCTAAACGCGGCAACAGCCGGAGCTGCGCCAACCCAAAGCCAGGAGCTTCCTCCAGGTCTCCCACGTGGGTGCAGGGGCCCAAGGACTTGGGCCATCTTCCACTGCTTTCCCAGGCCACAGCAGAGAGCTGGATCAGAAGTGGAGCAGCCGGGACTCGAACCAGCGCCCATATGGGATGCCGGCACTGCAGGCCAGGACTTCTACCCGCTGCACCACAGCGCCGGCCCCTGCGAGAGTTTTAGGAGAGTGCTCGTGCAAGGCTTGTGCGTGCCGGCCGTGCCTCGGGCGCTCAGTGTGGGGCCCAGCCGCGGTGCCTCTGTGCTCGGTCCTGGGGACTCCCCACCCAGCCGGAGTGCTAACCACTGGGCTCTGTGCCTCATGGGAGAACACGCGCTAGACTTTAAGAAATGACCTGGCGCCAGCAGCTCTTTCTGCCTCCTTCCTGGGAGGGATGTGGGGGTGCACCTTTGCTGGGTGCTGACTCTCCACAGCCGGATGCCGGCGTGCGCTTGGGCAGAGCCTGCGCTGGCTGGTCCCGGGGGCTGGCTGGAATCCGCTGCTCTCCGACCACGGGCCTGAGGCCGGGCTGCCTGGCGCACATCTCCACCTGCAGGGCGTCAGGAGCCACAGCGTGCCCGTGGGCCTGGACTCCAAGGTCCTCGTGGATTTGGTTGTGGTGGGATCCGTCGCTGTTTCTGAGAAAGGTGAGGTTTGCCCACAGGACGTCTCGGGGTGACAGGTTCCTGGGTGGCCGCTGTGCAAGTTCCCTCCGGCCGTTAGGAGCCGCTCAGCGCTGCCGCTTCCCGCCGTGACTGGCGCCGCAGGATTGGCTGCCCCCCCACCCCACACCTGTAGGGCGCTCACTGCTTTCTGCCCCGAGGCCGAGCGCCCGGAGCAGCGCGTGCTCGCCGGGACTCCGGCCTGTCCCCAGGCCTCTGGCGGCGCCCGCAGCGCGCGTCCGCCCTCCCGAGCCCTGGCCGGCAGTGGCCCTCGTCCCAGCTCGGTCGTGGCTGTTCTGTGCTTGGGAAGCATGGCCCCTCCCGCCCCCGTGGGCGAGGCAGGAACGGTGTGCTGGGTGCTGGCAACGAGTCTGGCCCCCTGGGCTGGGGTCCTGCGGAGACGGGGGGGGGGGCACAGCATCAGCGCGGGCCCCTGGGGGCCAGGTGAGGGGGGCAGGGCCCGGCAGGAGGAATCTGTCCCTGCTCTTGGTGGGAACTCCTTTATGACTTGGAAGGCGCGGGCTCTGTCTCCCTTGGTGACGGGGACCTGGTCCCTGCCTGGTGTCCCAGCCGCCGTCCATTTCCGGTGGCGCTGGGCGTCCATTTTTGGTGGGCTCCATGCGGTTGCCTCCGGGTGACCTGGGGGAGGTGCACCGCCCGGCGGCACCCTGGACCCAGGGAGGTGCTGTTCCCTCTGCCCGCAGGCTGGAGGATCGGGAAGGGAGAAGGTTACGCAGACCTGGAGTACGCCATGATGGTGTCGATGGGCGCCGTGCACGAGGGGACGCCGGTGGTCACCATCGTCCACGACTGCCAGGTGCTTCCTGCGACGGCGCCCGCTGGGGGAGGGGCTGCTCTGGCCTGGCACCGGAGCCGGGGTGGACTGCCGGGCGCAGCCGCCTCCCCTACGGAGGACTCAGGTGCTGTGTGACTCACGTCCGCTGGGCGTCTCCCCGGCGGCCCTTTACCTGCCTCTGCCTGACCAGGTCGTGGACATCCCGGAAGCCCTCCTGGAGGACCACGACATCATGGTCGACTACATCCTCACTCCCACCCGGCTCATCGCCACCGGCCGGGAGCGCCCGCAGCCAGCCGGCATCGCGTGGTCCAAGGTGGGTGGTGGCCGGGCCAGGCGTCGCCTGGCGTGCAGCTGTCTGCGGCGCTGGCCTGGTGCTTGAGGGTCGCCGTGGGGTCTCTTGGGTCGCGTTTCCAGGCTCCAGGGCTGCTTACAAACCTCTGGGCCCTGATGTGCGGCTGGGGCCGAGTTCTGCCAGTCCACTCCTAGGAGGCAGCGGTTTGCAGCCCTGTGCGTTCGTTCCCTCTCTAAGTGCTAAGATTTGTTTATCTGAGAGGCAGAGGCAGAGAGAGAAAGAGATTGGTCTCCTGTCCTCTGGTTCACCCCCCAGATGGCCACAAGGGCCGGAGCTGGGCTGATCCGAAGCCAGGAGCTTCTTCCAGGTCTCCCACACGGGTGCAGGGGCCCAAGGACTTGGGCCATCCTCCACTGCTTTCCCAGGCCATAGCAGGGAGCTGGATCAGAAGTGGAGCAGCCGGGACTGGAACTGGCACCCATATGGGATGCCGGCACTGCAGGTGGTGGCTTTACCCGCTACGCCACAGCGCTGGCCCTGTGAATCCAGATTTGTCCACTGCAGGTGTGGACCTCCAAGCAGAATGGGAGAGGCTTGGAGGCCAGGCCGGGCCCTTTGGAGGGTGCCACTTTGTGACCCTAACCTGCGGATCTTAGCTGTCACCTGGGATTCAGGTGGTGGTCATGCCGGCAGAGACCGGAATGAGGGAGAAATCATAGGGGGATGAAAACGGGCAGATGAGGGACCGTCCGGGTGCAGCAGATGCGGCCTGGCTGTGCCGGAGCCTCCTGACCCGCGCTCTGCTGGCCGTAAGCCGCGACCTCGGCCGCTGGCCAGGCCGTTCCTCCTCTGTGGCCCTGAGGTCGCCCCCGCGTGGGGCTCTGAAGGACGCAGCGGCTGCCCCTCCTGCCCCGCTCTCCTGCAGCAGGGCGAGCTCTCGTGGACATTTGTTGGGGCGGGGGTGGGACCCCACGCTGCCGCAGGGACTGGGGTGGAGGAGGGGCACGGACACTGTGGCCAATGCCTGAGCCCCTTCCCGGACGACCTGTGGAAGTGGGGCCCGAGATGCCCCTCTTCCTGAGTGTCTCCCGTCTGTGCCGCAGGCCGGCTGGGGGCGGGCACAGAAGGCGCGCTGAGCCGCTTCCACCGCCGGCCTCCTGCCCCTCTGTCCGCGCCCTCGCTGGGTCCGGGCTCCATGCTGGGAACACTGGGAATGCCGGGAACAGCTCCCGCCCATCCCGGTGCCGGCTCAGGTCCCTGCTGCTCCGCTTCCGTTTCCTGTGACTGCCTGGGGGACGCGCTGCCGCCGGGCCCTGCACTAGCTGCTGTGCCGGCTGGGGAGTCAGCCAGCAGGTGGACGCCCTCTCTTCTGGGTCTTTCCCTCTCGTCATTCTGCCTTACAAAAAAATAAACTAAGAATTTTTTTTTTTTTTTTTTCAAAAAGAAAAAAAGTGATTCCCTCCCGAGCTACAGACCAGCCCAATACAGAGCGAGATTATCTGATTGTAGTCACTTTAATTTTACTTTTTCCCCGTTTATCTGAAAGGCAGCGCACCAGAGACGGGGTGGGGTCTTCTCTCCCCTCCCTGCCCGGCCCCGGGGGCTGCTCTGTCCTCCCGGCTCTGGGCCTCCCCGTGAGGTCAGCAGGTTCTTGGGGGCGCTGCCGCCCCCTGGGTCTCGCCTGCGGTGTCTGGAGGTGCCGGCTCACCGACAGCCAGAGACAGCCAGACACGTCCGTGCTGGGAGGCCCCCGGTGACCCAGTCCCTTCTGTGCACCCTCAGAGCAGCGGAACCGCTTGGCTTTTTCAGATCAGCCCTGAGATGATGGAGAAAATCCCCATACTGCGGAGCCTCCGGCGCCGGGAGGAGCAGGCTGGGAAAGACGTCGCCCTCCGGGACGTGGCGGGACAGCCAGCGGGCAGCTCCCCCAGGGAGCGTCAGGAGGCCCCAGGACCCTCAGGGAGTGGCCCGCGGTTCCCCGCTGCTGGCTGCCACCGTTTCCGTGGGGAACCTCCCCCACGATGCCCGCGTGAGCGATCTCAAGAGAGCCCTCCGGGAGCTCGGGCTGATGCCCCCGCGGCTCACCTGGCAGGGGCCACGGCGCCCCGCCCTGCTCCACTACCAAGACCCAGCCTCGGCCCAGCAGGCGGTCTCCTGCTTGCAGGGCCTGAGCCTCGGCGCCAGCACCGTGAGGGTGGCACTGGCCGAACAGCAGAGGGACAGATGACCCACGGGCGGCCACGGCTGGCAGAGGCGAGCGTGACGGCCTGCTGCTGGCCTGAGTCTCGGAGGGGGCGCCCTGTGCCCCTGCTCCTGGCCGGGCTGGGCTAGGGGAGCCGCAGGCAGATGACAACGGCGCGGCAGTGCAGTGCCTCAGCGAAAACCGCTCCTGGGCTCACCCTGGTTGGACGCAGGGGAGCCCACGCCCAGAACTGCACTGGGGGCCGCCTCCCGCTCCACCAGCCAGCCTTGCCTGGCCCGGGCAGGCGGCCTGGACTCATGGCAACCGCAGGCCCCCGGCACACGGGTGCCCACATGCTCGGCTTGGCCCAGAGCCTCCGGGTCCCTGGGTCCCCCAGGTGCTTCCGGCTGTACTGCCCTCTCGGCAGACGCGCGCTTACAGTGGTCGCAGGCAGACGCGCGTGTGTCGCACGCTCGGGGGTTTCAGCAGCGTGCGTCTGCAGCGTCCCGGGCCTCAGCAGAGGGAGGCGCGTGCTGCCACACCTGCCCCCGGGCTCCACGCTGGCGCTGCTCCTCGGCCCGCACATCCGCCGTGGTTCCGGGCCAGTGGCCGGTCCGTCCTCCCCCTCCTCGCCACAGTGCCCGTCCTGCGGCTGGCAGACCCCCACGCAGCTTTTGCTCGCTCGCTCTCGTGGGTTTGCAGTGAAACTTGTAGCAGATCCACCGCCCTGAGCCGGCGCCAACGCAAAACGTCCACCAAGGCTGCGATGCACCCCGCCGTGGCCTGTGCCCACGGCCATCAGGAGTTACCAGGGCTGACGCCCCACTCCCGTCAGGCAGTCAACAAATCCCTGGGAGCCTCCGCCCAGCCCCCCCCCCCCAGCCCCAGATCCACGCAGGTGGGCTGCAGCTCTCCCAGCGCCGGGACCCCAGGCTGCGCCCGAGTGTGGCCCTTCCCTCGGCTGATAGATCTCGCTGTGCTCAGACTGGGAGCAGCCTGGAACCAGCGCCCAGGACACCCCCTAAGGGGAAAGACCCAGAGCCTGCACCAGGGCTGAGAACTGCGACAGGAAGCGAAGGGAGAGCACAGCCCCACAAACCGCGGGAGAGGCACCTCGTAGCAGGTACTGGGGGAGATAAACACACAGCGGCCAAAGCACAGCCGGGGGCACCCTGGAGATGCGGGTGCGGCCCGAGTCCTTGGGCCCCTGCCACCCACGTGGAGACCTGGGTTCAAGTCCCAGGCTTCCAGCTCTAGTCTGGCCCAGTCCCGGCTGTTGTAGGCATTTGGGGCGCGAACCAGTGGATGATCTCTCTCCTCCCACCTACCTTTCAAATAAAATGGAAAATGCATGTTTACAAAAGCAGAAACGGCAGCCAGGCTTCAGCCCTGGTCCCGGCGTGGTCACTCCAGGGTCGCTGCACCCGTGTGCAGACATCAGCAGTCGATCCCAGCACTCGCTGCCCGGCCAGGCCTGTGGTCCTGCGGTCCTGCTGGCACAGAGGAGCTGCTTCCCGCCCTCATCCACGGGCAGAGGCGAGGATTTCGCCCCTTCCCTGTCTGCCCAGCCCCGCACGGGCCTGGGAGCTGCCTGGCTTGCAGCTGCTCCGTTATCCCCGCCCACGGCAGGAATCTCACTCCCTCTTCCTGGTCTCCTGTATTTGGGTTCAGTCTAACCAGAGTTCCGAATGGCACAAGACCCTCAAACGTGCGGACTGTGGACTCCAGCCTGTTCTTTTTAAAAAGTATTTGACAGAGGAAGGGAGACGGAGCATCTGTCTGCGGGTCACTCCCCAAATGCCCGCAGTGCCCAGTGCTGGGCTGGAGTCAGAACGCGGTCCAGGGGCCGGCACTGAAGTGCAGCAGGTAAAGCCACCGCCCGGAGCACCAGCGGCCTAGATGGACACCAGTTCAAGTCCCAGCTGCTCCTCTTCCGATCCCGCTCTGCTGTGGCCTGGGAAAGCAGTGGAAGACGGCCCAGGTCTTTGGGCCCCTGCATGGGAGACCCAGGAGAAGCTTCTGGCTTCAGATCAGCTCAGTTCTGGCCATTGCAGCCCTTTGGGGAGTGACCCAGCAGAGGGACGACCTCTCTGTCTCTCCCTTTCTCTAGCTCTGCCTCTCAAATGAAGTCTACAAGAGGGGAGAGAACTCAGCGCCGTCTCCCTGTGAGTGGCAGGGACGCAGTCACCAAGCCCTCGCTGCTGTCTCCCGGGGCTGCACAAGCAGGAAGCTGGGGTCGGGAGCCAAGGCCTGAACTCGAACCCAGGCCCCGTGCGGGGGACACAGGTGCCTCAGCTGGTGTCCTCCCTGCTGGGCCGGACCCTGCTCCCCACATCCTTCCACACGTCTCGTCTCGGGGCTTCGCAGAAGCCTTCACAGTGCGTCTCCCAGCAGGAGGAGACGGCCGGGGTGCAGGTGCGCTGCCCCACTCCCCCAGCAGCTGAGGGATGGGGCGGGTACCGTGGACTGCCTGAGCTGTGGCAATGCTGTGGGCGCTGTGAAACTCCAGAGCGCCCCGCATGACAGCCGGGCCTCGGGCCACAGAGACCACCACGCGGGCAGCCCCTGAGACTGCGGGCTCCACGTGGTGTGCCAGGTGCTGGCTGTGAGGGGGCCCTGGCTGCCCCGGGGAGGGGTCCGCGCAGGAGGCGCCAGCCAGCACCCCGCACAGGGCACCCAAGCCCGGGTCCCCCAGCCGAGCTGCCCGGCTGATGCCGGCTGCGGAGAAGCGAGCTCTTCTCCGAGACCTGCCCGGGCTGTGGAGTGGGAGGAGGAAGGAAGGAAGGGAGCCCAGAGTCCGGGGGAGTGGTTTGTCCTCAAGCAGCTGTGTGATTCTGGGCTGACAGTCACACACACTACAGCATCCAGGTGTGCCTATAAACCTCCGCGTGTCAGCACGGACGCCACGATCCATACCCCACGCGCGCCGAACCCCCCACCCCGAATGCCCGCCGTCCCCCTCGAGCAGGGAGCAAAGCCGAGACCGAGCCGATCACAGACCGCGCCACGCCGGCCCCGCGTGCCACACAAACCGGAGAGAGAGAGGCAATGCCGGTGGTGTTGGCAGGAGCAGGAAGCACCCGGGGAGGGGGCGGAGGGGCTGCTGACTCCCACCAGGGCTCAGGGCACGCAGGGCACAGGTGGACTCACGGCCCGCGCCTGCAGGGGTCTCGTGGCCACGCCACCAAGCAGCTACACCTGGTGCCAGCCCGCCCCCCTCGCCCCGGCTCACCTGGCCCTGCTGCTCGGGACGGCTCCATGTCTGCCTGCCTCTGCCGACCAGGGCGCCGGGCACGCTTGTCCCCCGCTGCAGGGGCGTCCTAGGCCCACACGGTCCGCAGCCCCGCCCCCGCGGAGCCCCAGCCGCTGTGCGGGGCTCAGCTCCGTCCTGGGCTTTCCCAGGAACCGCCCGGGCCACCTTCCCACCAAGCAGCCCCTCCCACGGGGCGGGGCGTCTCCCGTCAATGGAGCCCTTTATTGCCGCCGGCCATAAATCATAGGGGCGAAATGGGAGCTGACACCGGGCCGTGTAATGTGGATATTTTGCACTTTGGATGGTTCGGAAGCCAGCAGCTCAGTCCCCGAGGTGCTGAGTTGTGAGCAAATGAAGTCTCTCTCTCTCCTTGGAGGGCGACCCGGCTCAGTGGACGCCCAGAGAAGCCCCGCGCAGCGGGCACCGGCACCTCCCCGTTGTCCGGATGGGAAAGGTGTGGCTGGGAGGGGTTTTGCAGCTCCCCGAGGTCTCGCAGGGAACCATGGACACAAGCCCGGCACGGCGGCTGGCTGCAGTGTGGCCCCCAGGGAGCGCGTCCTCTCCCGTGAGAAGGTTTCCCTCCACCCTGCGACCGCGCTGGACAGCCGGGGCGGGGGGCGGGGGGGGGGGGGGCAGAGGAGCAGCTCCGGCCCCGCCCACGAGGTCAGGACCCAGTGGCCGCCGCCAGGGCGCTCGCCTCGGCCACCCCTCCCCCCGCCCCTGCATTATCTGCTGCTCCTGGGGCCAGCGCAACTGTGGAAGCAATGTTTACTTTCTTCTCATTTTTCTGGAGTTTATTTTAAATACGCCCCATCATTTGTGCAATTAGGCAAAGACGGAATTCGTCGTGCCCCTTTCTAGGAATCGCCGGCTGCTCCTCAGCCGAGGTCACAGGCCCCAGACCCCAGCGTGGGGTGCGCGCCTCTGCCCAGCCCCGGGGGACCCAGCGCCCTCGCCGGCTGCACGCTCGGCCCCAGCGCGCACCGCGCGGCGCCGACAGCAGGTGGCGCTGCCTCCCCGCGGAGGAACAGCCAGGGCCCACTCCCTGGGCAGTGACGCTTCCCTGCCAGACCCCAGAGCCCTGGGCTGCTCCTCCCTGGGGAGGGGGTCTCCTGACCTTGAGCTCCGCCCAGGAGCAGGCATCACAGTAAAAGGTCCCAGAACCGGACAGGGACCCGCTGCCCCCGAGCCTCAGCTGCCCCGCCTCCCCCACCGTCTTGCCCCCGGCCCTCCCTGCTCCTGGGAGCTGGTGACCACGCCCAGGATGGCAGCCTCCCAGAGACCGAGAGCACCGGGCCTCGTCTGTCACTCGCTCTGGGGCTGCGCCCCCAGGCACACCTGCCCGCTCCTTTCCCGGGTCCGCTGAGGTCCTGGTGCACCCAGGTGCTGGCCGCGGGGGACCCAGCGCCCGCTCTGAAAGAGGCCTGGAAGCGCCCCCCCCCCGCCGCGCTTTGCAAGCAGAGCCCCCCTCCCCCGTGCCCCTCCCCCATCTGGCTGCCGTGGGTGTCACCTGCTCGCCTGTTCCAGTGTGGCCTGGAGGGAGATGGCAGCAGGTTCCCGGTGTCCATCAAGTGTGGGAGTCCATAACAGCTCTATCTCTGGTCTTGTGGTCCAGGAAAACAATTATTTTACACCTGCAAACGTCAGCCATCTCTCTTCTTCCACCCATCCCCGAAGCACACAGAGAAACACAGTGTGCAAGGCCCGGATCCGTCTCTGCCCTACAAGGAGCCGTTTCTCCGGCAGCCCGGTCCTGGCCGGTCACCTGCTCGCACATGGAGGTGCAGTCCCTGTGGGAGACACCAGGGGGCTCCCTCCTCCACACGCTGGGGATAGGGCACTGACCCAGCCCAGCTCTCTGATTTGGTTTAAGCTTTTTCTGTGCAGCCCCAGAAGCATCTCGGGGTCCGCCGTGGAAACCCGGGGAATGGGTGTCGGTGGCCCTGAGAGCTGGGCCAGGCTCCCCATCCCGCCCGGGGCCACTTCCCAGCTCCGTTCCCAGCGACCGGCCACGCGTGGGTCCCAGTGCACTGCCGCCGCCCGGTGGGGCTGCATCACAGCTTGCTCAGCTCTCCCCCTCCTCCTCCCTCAGGCCTGGGGGCTGGCGGGACGTGGCCTGTTGGTCAGCGACACAGCCTTGGGGCTGGAAGTCCTGGGGCTCAGTGCCAGGTCTGCCTCTGACCAGCTCCCCGGAGCCAGGCCAACTCGGGGAGCACAGGTCAGCCCGGAGGGGGAGCAGCAACCCGACACACCTAGGCAGATGCCCAGGGCCTGGCCCCCGCTGGCCTGCCGACGTCCCGCCTGCCTGGCTCCCGGGCCCCAGTTCTCTCCAGCGCTGTTCTGGGAGCCGGAGCCAGAGCCTGTGGGCGGGCGGGAGGGGGCAGCAGAGGCCAGCCAAGCCGCCTTCAGCAGGGTTTCCCGGGGCCTGAGACTCAGTGGACAGGGACCTTGGCAGTCGTGAGGACCCCCACGGAAAGGTGCGAGGGCTGTGGGGTTCTGAACGCCATCGCCAGAGACTGACCAGTGGCTCTCGGGGGTCCCCGAATCTGCAGTTCCGGCCGCCGCCACCCCAGTATTTCTGGTCCCGCTCGCAGCCGGCTGGCCTGCGACTCCTCTGACCGCCCGGTCCCCGCTGGCCGCAGGGTGGGCCTAGGAGATCCCAGCGTTGGGTCTGCGTTGGAGCACCAGCGCGCCAGCCCCAAACTCACTGAGAAAACGCAGTCTCAAGCCCTGCGGGGTCTTCCTTCTACCCGGAAGGGTGGGAGCGCCCGATGCTCCCAGGGGCACATGGCGGCGCGCGCTCTTGCCCCTCCACACGTCCAAGGTGCACCGTGCGGGGTTCCCTTGGCTCGCTAACCGCCCTGGGTGCCTCAGGACAGTGGGCCGGGCGTGGGGGAACCCGGGCAGCCCAGGGGCTCCAGCCCTGTCACCCAGCAGGAAAACCGCGCAGGGAGCCCGGCGTCTCAGCGCCGCAACCCCTCCCCGCCTGTACCCTGCAGCCCCGGGTAAAGAAAACAGTAGGAAGAAGCGCACCTCTGCGGGGCAGGCGCCCTCACCCCAGAGCCCACACCCGGGTGCCTTCCGCCTTCCGGCCGCCTTGCGCTGAGAGTCCGGCGCGGGCGCAGGGGGCGCGGCCTGGCCTGCAGTCCCTGCCGCCCGGGGTGGGGTGCCGCACAGAGACGCTTCTGGGGGGTGGTGATCGGCGCCCCCCACCCGCCGCCCCTCCCGGAGCGTCATAGATGCTCAGCGTCTGACTGCTAGCTCCACCGCGCGCCCCGCGGGCTGTGCGGGGAGATGCGGGGTTCCCAGGCCGCCGGCCTAGGTGCCCGTGGAGCGCAAGGGGCACCACGCGGCTTTGCGTTTGGAGCTGGAGACTTGCACTCAGGATCCTGCTCCCGCCGCAGCGCGCGTCCCACAGCCTGTGTGCCGCCGAGGCCTGGGTGGGCCCCGGGAGAGGAGGCCACCGGCGCGCGGCCTGAGCGCGCGGCCTGAGGTCCCAGACGTGGCGGCGGCGGCGATCTGCCTGCGGGGCCGTCCTCCCGGGCCTGCCTGCGCTCTCCCTCACACCGCAGACAGCGGCTCCGGCCCAGAGGCAGAGGCCCGGTCCTGTCTCCCGGGAACCGGACGGTTTTCCTACAGAAGCCCCGCCGGGTGCCTCCCACCCAGCCGGGCCGGGGCTGGAGCGCGCTGAGGAGCCGGTAGAAACGAAGGCGCCGCGCAGGAGAAGAGCCTGGAGCCGGGGTGTCCACGCCAAAGCCACGCACCGCCCGGGGAGACGAGGGACTGCTGGAGGAGGCCCGGGAGCGCGCCGGCAGCCGCCAAATTGGGTTTTTCCTAATCGGCCCCTACTTGGGGCGCAGTCTCCAAAGAAGAGGGGCGCTGCCCTCTCCCCGGCGCGAGCGCCTATCCTCGCTGGACTGGTTTGCCGCTCCGGCGGCGGGCGGCTGAGGCTGCGGCGAGGCGGCCTCCGCCGCGCGGAGCAGCCCCTTCTGGGCCTGGCTGCGGGAGCGCAGGGGCCCGCGGGGCGCGCGTGCGGCCCGGGCCTGAGCCTCAGGCCGCTCGGGCCGGAGGGCTGGAGTCGCGGCCTTTTCCGCCCGGCTTATCTCGGTTTACAGACCGCCGTTGGTTAGGGATGTGAATTGCCCTGGCGCGTTTATTGATAATTTGGATGTGCCGAGCTCGGGAGAAATTACCCCCACGTCCCAAATGTCAAATCTGAGAAGCAACAGGAGCCGAGACCCGCGACCCCAGGATGCGGAGCCGCTGCGGTGGGTCTGAAGGCGCCCAGCGCCCAGCCCGGCGGCCTCGGGTGCACTGTCCCGGGCAGGAGCTGTGGGATCCGACTCGGCCCCACTGCAAACGCCCCTGGCACCTTGCTTTGCCACCTGCGCCCCGCCCAGGCTCCAACCTTACCAGGGTTCATCGGGGAAAATCAAACATAGGACACCAGGCACACACACGCACTGTACACGCACACACATACACACATCAGACATGCACTACACGCATACACACACCAAACACATGTGCCACACGAGCACACACATACAGGCACACACACCACACACACACACACACACGCATGCCCACAAACCCAGAATACGCACGTGCACACCCACAAACAAGAACCAAACCAAAACCGATCTTCTTTGTGATTTCTAACAGCTGGAATATGATGACAAAAATTTTGCTACATCTATCTACATATATGTACATGGCTGTCTACATATCTGTCTACATACATGTACAGCACCCTGCCCGGGTCTCCAGAGAGTGAACAGAAAACGCCCATTACAGAGAAATACAAAAGAAGCCGTCTCCGGATTCCATTTTCCACAAACTTTTCCAAGAACCCTGGCATCAGCTACAGACGCAGGGACACGGTGCACACACACACACGCACACACACAGCCTGCTCCATCTCCCCCGGGAGAGACCACTGTTCTGCTGTGAACGTTTGACGATTTCTTTTAAAACGAGATGACGTTCAGAGGGCCAGAGGGCTCTTCCTAAAAACCAGGAGCCGAGAGGAGCGGCGACGGCAGAGCCAGGCTGGCCCGGAGGGAGCGGAAGCCCAGCGATCTACCACACCGGTGTATGGTTTTTGTGTTTCCGAATTTGGGGATTTGGGAGATATTTTGCAACCTTAATGCCAATAAAATACCCATGCGCTCTGATTTCTAGCTGATACGATGTTAAAGGCCACGTACAAACGTTATACATTTTTATTTTTGTTCTTTTTTTAGGAAAAAAATACACAAAAGGCAAAACATCGTCAAATTGTAACTTTATACAGTGCAGAAGGAAATTTAAAATACGTGTGGCAAACGCTGCTCGCCAGCAGCCAGGTACTAGAAAAGGGGGCAGTCCTTCATATTACATATATATATTTATATAAAACATATGGAAATTTGTTTTTACACAGATGGGTCTTTGTTTCAAATTTACAATGGGTCTCTAAAAAAATTCTACACGGCAAATATTGCCAACAAAGTACACCATTAACACTGATCAACGGAGGGGCGTCTGCGGGCTGGCGGTGCTGGGCCGAGGACGGAGAATAAATAAGAGGACGCGCCTCGCTGCGGTCGCCCTAGCGCGGTGCCCCCGCGCCGACGCCGGCCGCCCGCAGAGCCGCGCCGAGGGGAGCCCGGCGGGGGCGCAGGCCCGGCAGCCCGACAGCGCGCGGCTTCGGACACGCAGGCTGTGGGCCGCGGGGTCCACCTGCGGCGGGCCGAGGAGGTCTCCTCCGTGGCGCGCGCCCCGGGGCCGCGCGCTCCTCCCCGCACGAGAAGACGCTGCGGGCCGCCTGGCGCGCTCCCAGGCATCCTCTCCAAACGGTAAAAAATGAAAAGATAAATACGCGGCCCAGGGCGCGAGTTCTTGGAAGCCGCGGGTGTCACTTGTCCGGAGCGGCCTCGGCGGAAGCGGCCGTCGGCGTCGCCGGAGCTGCACGGCGGGCGCTGGGGCGAGGGGAGCCGGCGCCGAGCCCTCCCCTCCTGCCGTCGGTTATACCTCGAGAGTGGAGCCGTGCCTGGCGCTGCCGCGCGCCGCGGCCTCACATCACGCACGGCTTGATGTCTTGGTAGGTGACTTGCTGGTGGTAGTAGGAGCCCCCGCCCGCCGAGTGCATGGACGAGGACGCCATGGCGTTGAAGGAGAACACGAACTCCTTGCGGTCGCACATGCTGGGCGACTGCGAGTGATACCGCGGGATGCCTGTGGGGCGAGGCGACAGGAGGGAGCGGGGAGCCCGGCGTGAGCCTCGAGGCCGCAGACGCAGGGGAGAAGCCGGCCCACGCCGCAGTCAGCCCGGCTCCAGCGCACGCCCGCCCGCCCGCCCGCTCGGCCCTGCCGGCTGCATCCAGACTCCCTCGTCCTGGGCGGCGGGGGGCACCCCAGACCCGGGGGAGCAGCCTTGCTCCTGCAGCTCCCGCCACCCGGATCCCGCACCGGCCCCACTCCCCCTGCGGAAGCCAGCAAGGGCGCCGCAGAATCCAAACTGCAGAGGTTGGGGCGGCCAGGGAGAGCGAGAGCTCTGACCTGAGCAGGAGCAGCCCCCCTCCCAGAACCGGCCCCGGGCGCAGCGTGGGCCTTTGGCGTTTGAAACAGACCAAGCCGGCGACCACCGGGCTCCCGCAGGCCACTGACAGCTGACCCCTGAGCGCCCCTGCTGAGCTCGCTGGGCACCAGGTCCAGAGCCAGGCCGAGGCCGCTGTGGGCTCTGGGGTGGGGAGCTGGGCTGGGGTGGCTGCAACTTTCTCCGAGGGATTGGGGTGGGGGTGGCCCGGAGGCCTGGACACTGGGGACCTGAGAAACCAGCAGCCGCAGCACTGGGCCTGGGGACCTGCACAAAATGTCCCCGGACCTCAGCGCCGCCCCACCAGGCCTGCTTCCCCTGGAGGCCGCGGGCCGAGCCTCAGAGGTGGCCGGGGAGGCATGGGGCCTAACTCTCCGCTCTGCCCAGGGCCTGGGGCAGAGGCAGCTCTGGGGCAGCCCCGGCGGGCTGGGGGCAGGCAGGGTGGGCCGCCTGGCTGGTGCCGAGACCACCACTTCCACACTGGCACCCTTCTGAGGTTGACAGGGCCCCAAAGGACTTAGGATTCCGGGATCTGAGACTTGGAGGAGCATGGGGCCTACCTGGTCTGGCGTGGGAGCTGGATGAGGAAGGAGGGCTAATCAGCCTGCAGTGGGGACCGAAAGCGGCGGGCCCCTCCGAGGGGCAGCGCCAGGGCCCAGAGGCCCCCTGGGAAGCCGCGTGCCGGGGTCCCACTCACCTTGCAGTTCGGCCGGCGCGTTGTGGCTGTTCTGGTGCAGGTACGGCTGGTCCAGGGAGTGCGTGGAGAGGCTGCCGGACAGGGGGTTGGCCGCGGGGTTGCAGGGGGACAGGGGCTGCTGCTTGATGTAAGAGGCGCCACTGTTGAGCGCCGCGGAGGCCGAGGGCGGCCAGGCGGCCGCGGAGCCCGAGTAGACGGCGTGGGGCTCCATGACCCCGCTGGCGGCGGCGGCTGCGGCCGGCAGCAGCGGCGAGGCCGGCACGGAGCCATCGTGGTGCGGGTACTCGCCGGCCGCCGTGCCGCCACAGCTGCCCATGTACGAGTGGCCGCCGTTGGCCGGCAAGTGGGGCACCGAGTGGCTGGGCAGGGCCATGCCGTCCACGTTGCCCGGCAAGTGGCCATTCATCACGCCCAGACCGCCCTCCAGCGCCAGGCTGTTGGGCGCGCAGGAGAGGCCGCCGGCCGAGCCCTGGAAGCCGTAGGTGTCCGGGAGGTGGTTGAAGCTCAGCCCGTTCACCATGCTGTACATGGGCTTGAGCGCCTGGCACTTCCTTCGGAAGCCCCGCGGCCGCCGCCGAAAGGAGCCCTCCTCGAACATGAACTCGCTGGCCGGGTCGATGGTCCAGTAGTGGCCCTTGCCGGGCCGCCCGAGGCCCTTGGGCAGCTTGATGAAGCACTCGTTGAGCGAGAGGTTGTGGCGCACCGAGTTCTTCCAGCCCTGGTAGGCTCCGCGGAAGAAGGGGAAGCGCGCCTGCAGGAACTGGTAGATCTCGCTGAGCGTCAGGCGCTTGGTGGGCGAGCTCTGGATGGCCATGACGATGAGCGCGATGTACGAGTAGGGCGGCTTCTCCGGCCGCCGGATGCCCGCGTTCGTCTTCTTGGCCTTGGACGCGCCGGAGGACGCGGGGTCCATGGCCGCGCCGCCGCCGCCGCCGCCGCCGCCGCCGCCGTGCGGTGGCTGCTGCTTCTCGGGCGCCGAAGACATCGGGTGCCTGCTGCCGCCGCCGCCGCTGCCGCCGCTGCTCTGCGCCGCCGAGGAGCCGGGAGGAGGAGGAGGAGGAGGAAGGGGAGGAGGAGGAGGAGGAGGGGGAGGAGGGCGCGGGGGAGGGGGCTGCGTGCGCGGGGCTGGCTGCACCTCTGCCGTCATCGGCGGCCACTTCTCCCGAGCGAGCCTCGGCGCGCCCTCCCCCGCTCGCCCGCCCTCCCCGAGGAGCCGCGGGATCCGCCGGCGGTTGGCTCGGCGCCCCCCCTCGCTTTCCAACTCCCTCCTCCCCCACCCCTCCCTCCCTCCCTCCCTCTCTCCCTCCCACAAGGGAAGGAGCGGAGAGGAGGCCGAGGGCGGCCGGGGCGGAGGCCGGAGGAAGTTCCCCCCAGACCTTTTACGGGGGGAGGCACCACCTCCAGGGCCTGCGGCCGTGCGCGCCTACCGGGAGTGGCGCTCGGCTCCACCACTCGGGCCGAGGCCGCCTTCCCTGCATCTGCGCTCCGCGGCCCCTCGCCGGCCGGCGCAAGACCCTCCAGGAGTTCCCTCCCCGCCCTGCCCCCCGCTGGCCCCCGCGTCGGTGGGCGCTTAAAGAGCCCCCACCCCTGCCGACCCGCGGCTGCCGGCAGAGCCTGCCCCGCCTCCACCAACCTGGCGAGCAAGTGTTAACGCGCCCTCCGCCCGCGGCTCAGCCCCGGTGCGCGCAGGCCCCCAGCCTTGCAGGCCCGCGGGGCGCGCAGAGAGGAAAGCGCCCTCGGCTTCGGGCCTTGCCCGACGCGCACAGCCCTTCGGCAAATCGCCACTCTCACGGCGGCGGTGGCCGCCAGGTCGCGACCATCGCGGGCACGGCCGGCTCCGCTCCGGGTTCCCGCGGCCAGCGGGCGTGAGTTCCCGCGAGGGACCGCCTACCCACTCTCCCCGCCCCGGGCAGGACTGCGCCGCGCCCGGGATCTTTCGGACTCGCCCAGCGGCGCGGGCGGGCGGAAAACGAAAGCTCCGGGCGAGTCCCGGTCGCTTTGTCTTCGGCGCCGCGGGCTGGATGGGGGAGACTGGGGATCGCTGGCCGGGTTGGGACCAAAACCGCACAGACTTCCAGAACAAACTCACCGGTGCGCGATGTGCGCACCCAATACACAGCACAAGCTTGCACGCGTTGATGCACACGCACACCCAGCGCGTTATGCCCGCAGGCGTGCAAAAACCCATGGGTGCCTGCGCACACGGCACCCAACGCTCGCGCTCACGCACACGGGGTGCACGCGTACACACGCCAGGCTTGGTCTGAACTCGCACGCACTGCCTGTCCCCCAACACACACACAGACACTGAAAATCCTCCTGTTTGGCCCCTCGGCCCCGGAGTTCCCAATTTCCCCGAGAGATGGCAAGGCCCTGGCAGGAAGTTTACACGGCTGAACGTAAACACCTTCTGGGGGATTCTTTAATAATAATAATAGAGAATTCCGCGGCGCGGGGGGAGTTGGCCTCGTGCCCCGGTGGGCTCGGCCTGCCGCCGCCGCGGGGGCCTCTGACACTGCGCGCCAGGCCAGGTTCCGGAAAGCAGACGGCGCGGGCGGGGAGCTCGGGCCGGGGCGGCCGTCGCGCGCCTGGCTGCCAGCCCGAGGGGCTCGCACGCACGCCCTCCTTCGCCAACCTCCTAGCGCCGGGGAGCGAGCTAGGGCGGTGGGCGTGGGAGGCAGGCGCTGAGGAGCGCAGGACCGCGCAGGAGCCCCGCGGCACAGCACGGCGCGCACTGGACCAGGTGAGTGCCCTTGCCGACCAGAGGGCGAGACGCGCAGCACAGCCCGGCCCTTCTCTCTCTTTCTTTTTCTTTCTCTTTCCCCCTTTGCAAGGTTCCGGGGCCGAGGAAGGGGCAGGGAGCGAGGAGGGAAGCCGACGCGTCCAGGTGCTCCGTGTGCGGGGTTGTGAACCCCGCCCGCGGCTCTTTCAAAGCCCACCGGGCCTCTGGGTTGCTCGGGACGCCTTGGGCTTCGGCAGAGAGACGCCCGGTCGCCTCGGAGGGCGCCTGGCGAGTCCCTGCGAGGAGGGGGTGGAGTGGGGGTGGGGTGGAGAGAGCCTTGCCCGCGTGGCCTGCGAGCCTGTGGCTGCCTGCGCTGGCAGAGCCGGGCTTGCGGGAGAAGAGAGTAGCCTGCCCCTCTCGGCGCTTCCGCGGGGGAAGCTGAGCGTGGGACGCGGCCGACGGCGCCCGTGGTTGTGTGCCTGCCCAGAGAGAGACGCGCCCTGGCAAACCCACTCCCCTTCCCACAGCCCACTCGCTCCCTGCCCACGGCCTCGGCGGGCCTTCCCCGCGACCCCGGCACGCAGGCACAGGCATTCCCGCGCACTGCCATCACACAGGCTCGCGCGGCCGTGCCACTTGTGCGCTAACGAGCGTGCACCCGCGCGGGTCCTTAGCCTCTCCCTCCTCCATCTCGGTCCCCGCCCCCCCCCCTTTGCCGGAGGCCGCGCCGCGCCGGGAAGGAGCCGCTGCCGCCTGGCCTGTAGCAGAGAGAGGAGTGGGGGAGGCTGCCCAAGCTGCCGAGGGTGCAGCCGCGCCCGGCTGTGTCCTCCTCATGCCCACTCAGGGGCAGCCTCCAGAGTGAGCCCAAACTTGGGGGGCCCTTCCCTCTCAGGCCCTCTCCAGGTGGGAGGGGCTGTCAGTTTAGGGCCACCCCAAGGTCAGTTTTGCCTCTCTTCCTGGCCTCTCCGTGGGGGTGAGGGGGCGGCCATCTTTCTGAGGGTTGGGGTCTCCCCTGGCCTCCGCTAACAGCGGCCCTGACAGCGAACCTGACCTCCTAGGGAGGTCTGTGCCCAGGGAGCCTCAGAAACCCAGAAGAAGGGAGCTCCCCAAGCCCTCGCCTCTGCTGAGCGGGAAGTCAGCCGTGGAGCTGCCAGGGCGGGCAGGCAGGCCCTCAGCTCCCTGTTGGGAACACTCTCATTCTGGAGCAGCTGGAGCCGAAGCCAGGAGGGCTCCCCCCAACACCCAGGGACTACTCTCTCTGCTCCTAAGATGCCCCCAGAGGCCTCCCTTGAGCCCACATTTTGGGGGTGGGGAAACTGAGGCCCGGCCAGGCTCTGGAGAGTGGGGCCCCTCTCCATGAAATCTCAGAGCCCCTCAGGCTCCCAGTGCCCCCTCCTGGGCCGGGAGTGCGGGGGGTGGGGTGGGGGTGGGGTTAGGGGGGTTTCTGTCCCTCGCACAGCCCCCAGCTCTCCAGGCCCAAGGTGATAGAGGGGCTCAGGGGAGAGCTGCTGTGAGACCCGGGCCAGCTGTAGACGCAGCCACCAGCCGCAGGGGACGTGCCGACGGCTGCCTGTGCCCCAAGCCTTTCGCAGGCTGTGCACTCTGCAGCTACGATCCTGCCTCCCCGCCCGGTGCACACCTGTGATCCTGGTAGAGTGATTTTCTTCCAGGTCTCACCAAAGGCCTGTGGCCCACCCGCAAACCCAGGTATCACCCTGGTGAGTGCCCCCTGGACGCCTTCAGTCTCACAGAGGCCCAGGCCAGCTGGGTGCTGTCACCCTCCGCTCGCACAGAAGGGTTCCCGTCTGCCCCAGGTCCCCCTGCAGAGCCGGGCGCCAAGGCTAGTCGGGGTGCAGGACCAGGAAGCTGGGCCTCTGGTCTCCCTGCCGTGCACCGGCCACCGCGGGTGCTGTACCCGCTGTCTCTGCGCAATGGAGCCCATACTGGTGGTCGGAGCCGTCGGAGGGTGGGCTGTCCCAGCGGACCCCAGGAGAGCGTGCTGCAAACAGGGACCGTGTAGACTATGCAGAGAACCCCCTCTCACCCCAAATCCAGTGTGCGCCCAGCGCTGGCCCCAGGAATCCCAAAGTGGCCCGGTGTGTGTTGGGGGGGGGGTAGGTAAAAACAGACACGCCTGCGATGGCTCCCACTCGCCGGGTACAAGGTATTTTTACTGGCTAATTGCTTAAGTGAAGCCGCCGGGCCAGAGAGCCCGCCGTAACCCGAGCGGGCAACCAGATCCAGCTCGGATTGTGCCGGGCCGGCCTCATGGAGGGGGCGGGGCGGACGCCGACCACCCACCGCGAGGGCAGCCGCCCCTGCTCTGCATTAACGCCAGGCCCCGCGCCCCCTCGCCCTGCTCCCGCCAACACCCTGCAAAGTCCAGAGGTGCCCCCAGGTAGGGCGGGCGGCCCCCAGACCCGAAGCCAGCCACAGCGGTAGGAAGTGGCCCGTCCTGGGGGTGTCGGTGGGGAGGGATGCCGGACACCACCGTCGTCGGGGACATTTGTGACCGGAGATGCAGCCCTGGGGGACGGGACTGCCAGGGAAACGCCAGGGTCAGGAGCGAGGCCGACCCCATGCCTGGATTACAAAATAATCCATGTACAAAATGACAGGGGCTGCTCCCATGCGAGCTCCAGATGTGAGCACACCGGGCTGCTGCGAGCCTGGGTGTGAGTCAGGCCGGCCACGCCGTGCTGTCAGCCAACCGTGGCAGGTGGGCGTCCAGCGTTTCGGGAGCATGTGGGCACCGTGTGGCGGTTTCACGTGTCATGAATATTTGCAGCGTTCTGTGTGTGCACGGGGTGAGCACGTTCAGAGGCGTAACAGTGTGCGTGCAGCCGCGCTGCACACACAGCACCCCTCGGAGGTGTGCCTCGTGCCTCCCGCACCCACGCGGGATGGCCTGGGCCGTGGGACGTCCTGTGGGTCCTGCAGGCCGTGCACTGTTGGAGGTCAGGCACCGACATGAGGGCCATCATGGGAAGCACACACAACGCACTGCTGTGTGTGAGGCGTGCGGTGCCCCTGGGCACACGGCGTGGCACCCGGGCCCAGTGTGCTGCAGGCAGTGCTGGGGGCGCGTTCTGTGGCTGTGTGGACAGAGGGCCGGCAGGACCCTGCGCTGAGCGGGTTTCTGAGGCCCGTGCCCTTGCTGTGCTCTCAAGGTCACTGCCAGCTGGGCACGGGTGGTCCTCGGAGGCAGATTGATTTCTGGGAAGCACAGTGTACTCCTTTATTTCCCCTGCTCCCCGCCCCGGGCGGGGTGTGTGAGCCCCCCCCCAGGGATGGCGGCCGTGTTTGCTGTGGCAGGAAGCTGTGGGGAGGGGCCCGTTCTGTCCCGAGTGGGTCTGCGAGGGGCTGTGAGCTTGGAGACCGTGAAGCCCCCTGTCTGCGGCCACCAGAGCGAGGCGGTGGGGATCGGCCAGGGGGTCGGCCAGGGGGCCCGGTGCCTGGGAGGACAGAGCCGCTAGGGAAGCTCCCGGTGTGGGGTGCACACCCCCACTTGCATCCATCGCCACCCACTCAAACTCAGCCAAGAGCCAGCAGCAGTCAGAATCGGG